GGGGGTGGCGGGGGGGAGGGGGAACTCTCTCATTAACCATAATGATGTGTGAAGACAATCCTAATCAGAGCATGGCACCTTATTTATGTTGGCAATTTGCTGTTTTCCAGCAGTTACGCCGACGTCTTACTGTCAGAGAAGCTGACACGCGTTTGTGTGTGTGTGTGTGTGTGTCGGACTGTCAGTGCAATTGGGTAGAACACACACACACACACACATATATACACACTGACTCACATGCAGAGATATGCACAATCTTACCCATCATGCCTGACGTTTTGTTGAAAAAAAAAAGCCCCAGGGTTGCTGGAGCCAATCCCAACATTCATCAGGCAACGGTTGATTGTGGGGTGGGGGTATTAGCGAGTCGGGGGGGGGCAGACATTTGTACCTGTATACAGACAGTTACCCTAACCCTCAATCTGTTTGATTCTGGCCTCAGAATCTGGAGATAAAAGAACATGGAAACCCGGGAATCAAACCGGCGACCCAGTGATCGTCCTGCTGTAAAGTGCCTCTTCCACTGTGTCAAAAAAAATACTGTTAAAGTGAGTCCCTAAACTCACACCTTTACTACCACACATGTCTTTTTTAGGCTTCAAAATAAACTTAAATTATTTCCCACATTCAGGCGCTTCCTGACCGGCTTTGGCGCCCCCTAGAGGAGGAGCAGCCATAAAAAATACGGTGCAAAAATAATTCAGAACTGAAGCAGGAAAAATCTGGTTAATCTGACACTGATGTAAAGTCCTGGTGAAACTCAGTGTCCAATTAACCTTCCTCAGAATCTGCATGTTTTTGGGCTGCGAAAATAGAACCAGAGAAGACACACACACACACACTTGAAAATAGAACCAGAAAAGACACACACACTCACACACACACACACACACTGAAAGGCCATCTGCCTGAGTCTGGACTCACACTGGGGACATTCTTGCTGTGGAGCAACAGCTAATTACAGCAGCAGTGTGTGGCTCTATTTCCAAACCGTTCCAGTCAAACGTAGTTCTTGCGGCGACTGAGGTCGGACACGCACGACTTCTCTGATCCTGACACACACACACACACTCTCACACACACATATAATCTACCTCGTCTCACTGCCTCGGTCCGGAGGTGAATAATCTATGATAAAATCTTCAGGCACTTCCTGTATGGAGTGACATTCTTTACCCGGTGACACAGTTGTTGGCAGGAATATCCACCTGGTGGTGGAGTCACTTCTGCTTCACTGCGTCATTA